CAGCTAATCTGCGGCCGGGGCAGTAACTGGGGCGCCAGGCGTTGCCAACCTCCCTCCCCTCCCCTTTTCCCTATCCCCCACATTCGGGCGAGCATTCGACTGGAGGGCCGTTGAACGCTAATTAACTCTTGATATGCTTTTCATGGGGGCAGGTCCGGCCGGAGCACCCTTTACTGAGGCTAATTCGGCCTCTGAAGGAGAGGAGGGGTTGAGAGAGGACTGCTGACCGTGAAAGAAGCTAATTGAACAATACATTCTTTACCACCTACCAGAACACTATCGGCGAGATTTGTACTACTTACTTATCGCCGTTTGATATGTCGTGCTTGGGTTGGGAACCCCTTCCCTCATATCGATTGTAGAGATTCTTTTTACGCCACTCGCTCCATTCTCCCTTTTCACCTTTTTTCCGCTCCCCCGAAGCTCGTTACACTGGATGGACGGAGCGTCACGTGACGTGTCCGCCGTCACGCCCCGCTCTACCCCAGCCCGCCCCGCCATCACAGGTCCCAACTTCAGTGATATCACTTTCCTTTACTCATCAATCACTACACACACCGAGCTGCGCTTTACCTCCCGTCTGCGGCTGCCGTTCGTTTTTACGCAGTTCCGCCTGTAACGGTCTCTCTCTCTCTCTCTCTCTCTCTCTCTCTCTCTCTCTCTCTCTCTCTCTCTCTTCCCCCCTCCCTCTCCCTCACGCTTCTTGTTACTTTCTCTTCCCCGCGCGAGCGTCACCGGCAGCAAATAGAGGAACCGTGCTATTTTTTCATACGTATGAAAAATAAATACGGGAGTAGAAAAGTCGAATTACAATGACTTTATATATCTTTATGGCAAGCAAGAATCATTCCGGCCATGTTGGTTGGATTCCTATCTTGCTGTTAAAACTTAAGAGGTTTAAGGATAGGGCGGGATAGGTTGAAGCACAGTGTGAGACTTTCTCCAAGTTAGTGTTTTTATTTGTTCGTTTTCAAACAAATCGTTTCGCGTTTTATGAGAAATTGATCTAGCTGGAATGTTTATTCTCCCCGCGTGTGCCCGCGCCCGCATCAGTCAGAGCGCAACACTCGCGCTATGCGTAGCCGGAGCTGCGCTTCTCTCACGTTCTATCTTCTTTCCACGTCCGCACCCCTCTCCCCATTTCATCAAATTCTTTATTCTCGCATTCTCTCGTTCGTCTCTCCCGCCTCTCCGCTCTGGCCCTGCATCGTGTGGGAGAGGCGGCGCGGTATCGGCTGCCTTGAGGACAGAGCAGCTCTCCACGCCTAGCACGGTCTGGCCTCGCCTGTTTTTATGGCGAACCTCTCCTCTCCGTATATTTATCAGCCGCCTCTGGCCGCGAGGCTACGTGTTTTTTCCCTCTTTTCGTACCTTTCTGTCCCTCTCTCTCTCTCTCTCTCTTCCGCCGCGTACCCCCGTTACTCCCCGGGCGTACGACGGAGCCGGCACCCCCTTCATCTCCGACTCGTCCTTTGCAGCAGCAGTAGTAGCCCCGGTGTTGTGCCAGACGCAGCCGCAGCTAGAGTCCTTGTTGTCGCCAAAGAACAAAAACTTCTCGAAACAACGCAATGCTAATTATTGCAGGCGGCGCCCGATTTTCCTTTCAGACAGCAGAGAAGCGAAGGTTTAGGCTTACGTTAGTGTCACTGAACGATATGTTCAGTTCGTGACGGTCGTTAAACGTCCACTTACGCACGGTAAAAATAGTTTCTTGTATTTCAAGACCTGGTCTTGAATGCCATTGGTTTTCTCCATAAGATCCAAGACCAGGTCTTGAAATACAAGAAACTATTTTTACTGTGTGGATAAGATGACATGTCAGGCAACACCATGTTTTAAATTGTTGGAAGCAGCACGAATGCTGCACTTCGAAGATTTAAGCGGCTGAAATGGATATTATTCTAAACACGTTGACTGCGGCCTGACGGGCGTGACGCACACCGTAGGTCCCAGTTACATAACATAGGATTGCCTACCAGTGCCGCGCTTGCTAAGTGCCCCATCTTTGAATCTGAATTTATTGGTTTCAGTACTTTCAAACTCTTTGTAGCCTGGAACATTTCCAGCTCTTTGAAAGGATGCTGCTGCGGAGCCTTGTTTTGCCAGTGTTGCGTCTTAACCTAAAACTATGATCTTTTAGGAGACACAAAAGAGACAGAGAGATCCTGTGTGGAGCTACTAGCGCAAATCCGTCCTTGTCAAAGTCAGCGTGGCGTCTGTTTATGTCGCCCATCGCGACTCTAGGTGCGTCGCTGCCGCTTACCCCCCCCCCCTCCCCCCTCCCGCTCTTCCAGCCTGCACGCCTCTCAATGACAAAGTGGTCCTCACGTGTCATTCACTCTCCCAGAGGGGGCTTGTCTTGTCGGGGAGGTTGTTCGCAGGCAGCGCCTCAAATAATGATTCTGTCTGGGACGACCTTCGGGTAATTTTCCATCCAGTCCACGGAATCCCTTTTTTATTATCTAAGATGGGCTGACAGAGCGGAGCAGTAACGATTTCCGATGTTGGACGTCGTTTGGTGTGTGGAGGAGAGTAATGTAGTGGTGTTGGAGGAAATGGGTGACGGGTTTAGAAAGATCACGAATCGCGCGGATCGCGGCGCCATAGTCTCGCTAGTCACGACAAATTTCCTTTTCTTCCTACATTAAACTTATGGCCGAACCAAGCACGCGTGAGATTCATGCGAGCTGTACAAATCATATTTTATAATAAGGAAACGGTTTACTCTTATTTATCACTGTCTAACTCTGACTAGAGGAAACATAACTTGTAATATTCGGATTACAGCTCGGGGGAGAGCCTGCGATCCACAGGGTGGGCAAACCCGCCATACACACAAGCGTTGCCGAGGGCCCGCCCGCGCGCCTTCACCGCAGCAGTGACGTACTTAGCGTGGCGTGGTAGCATCAACTCTCTACTCGCACATCGTCGGTAAACAGGTAAGAATGTATTTGCGTAGAAGAAAGAAAAACCATATTTATTTTGATCAAAATTGAGCTACTGAGAACTACTTGTTAAAAAAAATACTGCAACCCCTTTAGTGAGGTTTTATGCTCGAGATGAGTAAAACAATTTTGACGACCAATCAAAGGGTGGACTTTATGGCTCTCGCTATTTAAATCACATCTCACTGAATTCTTACTTGAGGGAGTGTTGGTTTTGCTGACCTCGCCCAATTGCAGTGAACAACCTCACTCTCAGTGGGCGAGGACCGTAAGTTATGGCTCACATAGAGTGAGGAAAATAATCTTGCTTTCACTGGAGCGATATTTTTTGTGTCACTGATCTCGCCCTCATGAGAGAAAGATGCAGTCAGTCATCTTGTTCCTAAATTCGGACGTTTTTAGCAGATGATACCTTAAAAACCTTTTGACTAAACGTAAAGAATAGATAAGTAAATTTAAGGTGTCAGCTAGCTTTTACTCTCGAAACGGC